ACACAAACACACACACACACATACCCAAACACACACACACACATGCACACACACACACACACACACACACAAACTCACACACACACATACACAAACTCACACACACACATACACAAACACACACACAAACACACACACACAAACACACACACACACACACACACTCACACACACACTCACACACACACACACACACACACACACACACACACAAACTCACGTGCGCACAGACACACACTCATACCCACACCCACACATATACTTGCGGATAATACACGGAGTGCCAATAAATATTTATATTTCTTCTTTGTCGTTGTCGTGATTCGTTTGATTTTTGTTTGTTTTGGGGTATTTTTTTGCTTTTTGTTTCTGGTATTTCTAAAATTGTAATTGTAAGTGATTTGCACCCTTATCGACACTTACTTACATAACGTAACGTTATCCTTAGTCTTATAGGGACAAAATATCATAATTATATAATTTAGGAAACAGGCTGCTTCGACGCCCCCCGTCATGGCCTATCAGTTTAGAACGTTTCATCTGGTAGACGGAGACATTCTATAAAGAACCTTTAAAAGAATCGAAATCATGTATTTTGCTTCAGACGCTAAAGAGCTTAACCGCACCAGAACAGAACTGATTGATTTTTCCGCTATGATTATATATATTATATCTATATCTCTATCTATTTATATATTTATCTAAATATCTATCTATTTATTTTGTATACATTATACATAAACGATATATACATATATATTTATATATATAATTAGTTTCTTTGTTTGTTTATTTGTTTACTTTTTAAAGAAAGTTTTTCGACGTTACGTATGGATATTTTCAAAACGCCTTTTTATCCATAGCTGTTTCGAGAAATCAGCTTTTTCGTTTTTCCTATAATATTCAAACTCTCTTGTAACACCTCTAATCTTTTGGCGCTCATTTGACCGTATGCAGTTGTGAGCGCCGTAAAACCTCTACTAAAACACACAAAAAACAAACAAACTATATTGCACAGTACGTCAACGGTTTATCTCGCTCCCTGAAGACAAAAACGTCATTCCCTGTGCGTGAGAGACATGTATAATAAGAATAACGAAAATCACTGATTTCTCAATACTGCAGTGAATGAGAAAAAGGCGTTTTGTCAGAGTACGGCAGTATTCCCAGCGATCACAAAAATCTTTCCTTAATGATGGCTATTGAATTCTTTGTAAATTGTGTTTGCTTGAATGTGTGCTTTTGTGTATTACCTATTTTGAAGAATCTATGCAATGTCAGTTGAGAAGCACCCCCCCCCCCTGCCAAACACAAAAAATAATTTAAAAATCCCCTCAAACTCCACCCCCCCCCCCCCCCCTCCTAAAGAAAAAACTCTTTACTCTTTTTTAATATTTGCTGCTGTATAATATGCGTCATGACACTGGAATCGGACGCTCGTCAGTTTTTGGGCATATGGAGTTAATGGTATCATCTTAAAGCGTCTTCATTTGTCATGCTTTTGATTTTTTTAAAATCCTTCCATCTTGAATAGATTCCGAGATATTTGCGATTGAATGAGGTGGTGCTGACTGATTTTAGATGTAAAATTAACGAAAAAAATGGCCGCCAAAGTTTGATGGCTTCCAAAGCTGTAGATTCTTTGGTAATTACACTTTACATTATTTTTGCGCCTTTAAGCAACGTGTTTCAGTAAAATACACTAGAAATTGTGTTTTAAATGGACCAAAAAGGTGTTCAGCCAAAAAAACAAAAGAATGGATAAAGATTGACTAGAGACAGGAAAATATCGGTAACTTTCATTAAATTATTTTGACGAGCGCTTGATTTCACCGTGATGCCTCACATATTATAACAATTTAGAACATCGTAAGGATGAACGTTTTGTTTGGCCCGATGTGTTGCAAAAGGTCAAAAATGTAATCACTTGAGAGTATTTAAAATGTTACGGTAAATTATAACCCCCTCTCCCCCCCCCCTCCCCGACACCGATCCCGACCCTCTGTCTCACTCTGTCCTCGTGCATTGGAATTTTGAAACATGTTAGTGTTTGTTTGGCTTTTATATGCCGGCTTTGGTATTCATGTTTAAAACGAAAGTGAACTATAACAATAAATATCATATTAATATGCAACCTGTGTAGTGTTTATTGTAGTCAGAGTCATGTGCACGCTTTGTTATCTCAATATTACAGATACTACTGCGACCCCGTCATGCAACGCACAAGAGATAGAGAGAGAGAGAGAGAGAGAGAGAGAGAGAGAGAGAGAGAGAGAGAGAGAGAGAGAGAGAGAGAGAGAGAGAGAGAGAGAGAGAGAGAGAGAGAGAGAGAAAGAGAGAGAGAGAGAGGGGACCAGGGGAGAGAAAGAGAGAGGAAAGAGAGGGAGAGAGAGGAGGTAGAAAGAGGGGAAGGGAGGGAGAGAGATGTAGAGAAAGGGGAGAGAGAGAGGGGAGGGGAGACGGGGGAGACAGGGGGAGAGAGATAGGGGAGAGGGGAACGAGAACGAGAGGAAGGGAGAAGATGGGAAAGAGAGAGACGGGGAGGGAGAGACGGTAGTGTTTGTGCTGAAGACAGAACGTTGAACACACACACATGTTTGCATTGAACACACCATCACGATCATAAGCAAAGGGCCTAACTCAGAGTTAGACTTTTTGCATTCTTTGTGTTCACACGCCTCCCCATGACCCTTTTCAACGTTTGATTTAAAATAATTTTTCGAAGCAAAGAAAAATTGTGAATTACTGGCGCGAAAACGATTTGGCTAACTCATACATTTACTTTTGAGTTAGGCATTCTGTTGCATCAAAATGCAAAAGGCCTATATCACCTTCAACCGACTTCAGCGGTCACTTCAGCGTTTGCTCACATCATGAGACTTCAATGTCTCGCAGAAGACAGCAAACTACTCAGCAAGTAATGAATATCCAGATAATGGTGCTTTGAACCTAAGTTTACAATGTTATGTTCCTACTAGTTAATTACATGTATAATGCATTCTAAAAGTCTAGATGTAGCTATGATATTTGAGCAAAGGATGGGAAAACGTATTGCCAAATTTAAACCAGCTTCGTTTTGTGGATTATTAACAGCACTTTCATGTAAAGCCTTTAAAAAAAAAATTGCTAAGCATTTAGATGAATTAGATATAAAATTCTTTTTATCTTAAATGAAAAGACAAATCGTTTTATTTGTCTTAGAAGAGGGTTGTTTTTGTTGTTTTCAAATCCATTTGGCTGCGAGCATTTCGCTCTTGGAAGCGCAATGCCCCCCTCAAGTAACCACATGTCCTTGTCATCTGGTCAACGCCAGAGAGAGGGTAGTATGAGTTAGGCATAATGCAAATTGTTTTACACACCAAAAACCTGATTTAGGGAAGGTATATATTTTTTTGGTGATAATTAGACCTATTTACTAACAGATGTAGATCTTGATACCTGTGATAATTCATTTGCCAGTTAGTTTTGTACCACCCAATCAGAAATCATGTATGTAATGTTTCAGCTGCCAGATTATAATCAACATAACCACACATTTTTGGAACGATCGTAGGCTTTTGCCATGGAACAAATGACAACGAATAAAAGGCTATAAATATACACGTCAAGAGCTCCATTGAACATAGATAAATATGGAGAATGTAAAAAGATGGGAATAAGTCGTGTCCTTTTTCATGAAATAGGAATTTTGCTGATTCAAACTAAAACCATGGACGAAGATTGTGGTATCAACCACTCTCATGATTTCAAGGTTATGCACCAGCAACAACAACAACAAAAAAGGGTGAATGTGTAAACAAAATCTTGATGGATTTTGTCCTAAAACAATGTCCTTCACATAATATTCTTCCGCAGACTCTGGTTTAGTTTTAGTAAGAGTTTCACAGCATTTGCAATACAATACGGTCATATAAATGCCGAAGATTAGAGGTATTACAAGAGAGTAACAAACTTAAAAAAGAAGGAG